ACACTCTTAACTATAAAGCTCGATTCATTATTTCAATATTTCTCCACCTTTTTTATTAAATTTGTTAAAATTTTAATTTCAATATCTGCGAAATACATAATTTCATTTATACTTTAATCCGGCCCTGACGACCTTCCGCCACTTATGTAATGTTCAATAGTTCTCCTGCTGTGCGGTTGGTATAAAAGGTTGTAAAGATATCAGCGGACTGTAAATGTCAGTCTACTATATCTTTGAGGTTTCTGTACTATACTTATCAACATACTGGATACTGACGATGAGTGGAATATTTACGTTTACAAATATTGTTGAATCTACTTACCATGTGCATTTACAGAAATATGTGTGGGCATTAGGCATGCTCACATCCACAACAATTGTAGTCACTATTTTAGTCCACAGATAAGCTTTTTGACAGTTTTAACGCGGATAGCTTACTCGAGCTTTTTACACACTATGTATAGATACACCTAATGAATAGGATCACTAAACACAATACCTAGATTCATTAATTAGGATACGTAATCGATTAAATTCGCGTCAAATTAGAGTAATATATTGCCCGTACTAGAACACAACTGCATGACAAAAACTCTTCGAACAAGAGACTCGCTCACTCAATCGTCAGAATGACGATGAGACTCGATACATGTGTATATATACATAAGTAGGAATCTGATAAAAATTTGTTCAATGAGCTCTCTCGTCTCCAAACACTGCAGGTTTAAACTATTGATAAGAAATGAAGAAGTTGAAAATTGAAAGATGCTTAAACAGCATTAATGTATGGCTTATAAATGTTCATTATTTCATACATGAATTATCTAATATTTTTTAAATGGGTAACCCATTAAGGAAAATAAAAAAAGAGGAGAGGTGTACCTACATATACGATATTACAAAAAATATAAATGCATTCAAACTTCCCCAAACTTAATCTCCTAACTGCAACAAATTNAATTATCGGGAGGAAAAAGCTTAAGAGTATTTTCTCTCCCTATCAGTCGTGTTAAAATTGCATGATATGAAAACAGAAGGATAGGATAAAGAAATCTTAACGTTATGAGAATGTCTGTGTAATAAAAAATAGTCCAGCTTCAACTGTTTTTACGAATATTTCATTGCCTATGTTTTTCATCAACATCATAAGGTCGTCAGTCCTAAGACTGAGCTAATCTTCGCATTTCCCTAAAACTAGAACAATCCACATCCTTAACTATTTGCGAACAGTAATCTAACCTAGGTCTACCTCTACCCCTCCTAACTCCTGTTTCTGCCTTTAATACGTCTCTGATTGGACCTACATGCCTGAGAAGGTGTCGTACCAACCTATCTCGCCTATTTCTTATTTGCTTCCATATAGTCCTCCGTTCTCCTATTCTTTCTAATACCTCTTCATTTCTAACTTTCTCTATCCACAGTATCCTTATCATTAGCCTGTAACACCACATTTCGAACGCTTGTTTTCTTTTCCGCCGCGCCCACTGTTTCGCATCGTACAACGCTGCGCTCCAAACATACACCTTTAACAACCTTTTTCAAATTTCTAAATTAACCGTTTGCGAGCATAGAAGTAACTTCTATTTATTAAAGGCGACACGACCCTGCGCTATCCTCTGCTTTATATCCCTACTATTCCTTCCGTCCTGACTTATCTATCTGACTTCCCAGATATCTAAAATCAGTTACTTCTTCTAATTTTTCTTCTCCTATCTTTATATTCGCTCTTTCCCTACTTTTTCTTCCCTTTTGTAATAATTAAGAAACTTGAAATAATTTTTAAAAAAACATGTCAAAATTGAGATTATTACAAGTTATCTAATAAATTTTACTATTTTCACGGCAAAATTTAGTCATTTACAATCGCAAAATGGTAATTTTTGCCTTGTCATAAAAGTGAGTCCAATCTCTCAATATAAATGTTGTGCTTTAGCATGTAAATACATAGGTTAATGAGTTTTTAAAGTTTGACCTTGAAGTAATAATACACTTTTACAGCACCCCACTATTTTCTGGACGATCCTTACATATCACCGCATATGAATACTGGTAGTCTTTATGGTTACGGTAGAAAAAATTTACAGGAGTGTAAAAAGAAAAGTTTGGGCTGGTTTAGGTTAGGTTGTCTACGTACTTTTTACTGATACACTTATTATATTTCTGTAAAATGTGCTGATACTAAACCAGTTGTAATCAAACTGACATCCGCTTTTGTATCCGTTTCGCTTTTGTCTAGGTCCGTTTTTGTCCATGACTCATGATATTCATTTGCAAAACATTTTTCACCGTACCAGGCACGCATTGTAGTGTGAAAAACAAAAACTGAAAATCTGGAAACCATATTGTTCAAACAATAATGTTGATTAGCTCGCCGTACGTCCAGCTTTAATTATTGCCTACATCATGCCGAACGAATCGAAACAAATGCGGATCGCATTCTAGAGCCAACTACGATTAATTAAATCTGTAAAGTAATATAATCGATCCCTTCGTGAGATTTATGTTTGATCACAATTGCTTTGTAACTACCATTAAAACAGTAAACATTCAACTCAAACCCAGACATATTCAAAGCACTGGCGCATGTTAAATCGATTAATAAACTTGATTCACCGTAACGAAAGAATCCTTACTGAACCCAAAATGTAGCTTTGGAGATCAATCAGAGTATTTCCACAATGAACTTAATTTCTTTATTTTTTAATTCGTCGAGTAGAGAAATCAGAAGTGCTTGTATTTAACGGTAGGGTTAAATTAAAAGATGAACTAAATGTTACCATGAATTTGAAAAAATACAGGATAAAAAACAGTTTAGTAGAAGAGAGAGGGGTTACGATTTTTTAAGAGAAGCGGCCCCAAATTATCCTTATACTATTATTTCTCAATTCTTTAAAGATTTTAATATCTTTCAGAATTACGTGTTCTTGTATGACAGAGAAAGCATTTAAAATGTGGTACATGTGACAAATGCTATATTGGTCAAATAGGAAGAACATTGAAAACCAGAATTAATTAACATTTGAAAGACTTTGAAGATAGAAAAGAAACTTCTAATTACACCAATCATCTAATTTTAGAAAATCACTAAATTAATGCAAATTATAGAATTTTATACATTAAATAAAGGAATAAAACTCAATACTTAGAATTTCCGGAAATAAATAAAACAAAAATCAAAACGCAGAACTACACTCTCGTTAAATTTATTTTAATATAACTCCCACTTTAGTTAAGGTATATATAAACTGCATTTCTGTAAAATATTTAGTGCGATACCCTACTTGAAAAAGCTATTGTCTTAGCGAAACAATTGTCGATGACGAGCTTTGTCGTTTTTTCTTTAATTATATTACGGGGTTTTAATTAAATAAACACGTAATAATATTTATTTATTTTGTTCAACACTTAACACTATTTATTAAATTAATTCTGTACACTAACTATAACTGCGTCAATCGCGGTAGACCCCGGAGGGTGCAGGCCGCGGGCTTGTTGGTATTACTGATGTCCCAAAGTGACTAGACCTCGGAGGATGCGCAGTCGGAAGGAGCTATTAATTAGAGGCCAACTACCTTCCTTCGAAAAAAAAAAAAAAACGGGGGGGTTTC